TCATATTAGCCAATACCTTTAAAAAAAAATACAGCAAGCGTTCTAGCACTAAATGAGAGATGAAATCATTCCATGCCCCTTCTATAAGCCTTTTTCACAATATAGGAGGCCTTGAAAAGTGAAACATTACTGAAGCCAATGGCACTTTACAAACAAAAGTAATAGTAGAAAAGATCTGTACATAAACAGAGGTAGTCGTTCAAGTTTGCAAAGTGCTTTGAACTGAAATCCTAAACTGAGCTTGAAAACAAACTGTCAGCCAGTGAATCTCGTTTAATATATAGTGTGTTCATGATGCTACATTATCATCCGAAAAGAAGCAGTCATCTCTTGTACCAACTGAAGGTTCTGAAATATCTTCAAGGGCAGATAATGTTATACTTGCTACTTCATACCTCATTATAACTAGTGATAAAGGTGCTCCTGAGGAACATCACAGATGATCTGATACATTAAGGCGTGATCCAACATTAACAGATGATCCATCCTCCTTAAATGGTACCCTACTAGAGCACTGCATCCCACTTCTGTCAAAACAAAAGCGATTGTCTGCCACTTTGCAATGACCAACATTTCCAAAGCAGTGGAAGGCTAGAACTTTTGTTTTCTCCTCAATAGCAGGCTACAAAATGCAAACATCATTACTGTTTTCTACAACACTAATGCCTCAGAACCAGGAAGGACTCCTACATTGCTCTCTGTCCTTGTCATATCACAGTGACAAGAGGGTTCAGAGTAGGGTAGTTCTATTAAATCCAAAAATAGGTGATAGTTCAAGATTAATCATTAGTAGAAGATTACACAAAATATAGAATAATTCAAGCTGAACTTCAAGGGTAATTACTAACAATGAACCAAACTCATGTATAAGCTTTCTATAAAATCCTCTTTGATATCACAAGAAGATGGGGTAAATGCTAGTCACAGTAGCTTAGTTGTCTATAGACCCAAGGGGACACTTACCACTCAACTGATAAAAAATATGTTAATTAAATTAAGTTAATGTTCTGATAAAGTATGTGAGTAAATGGTATTCATTACAAGTACAAGTAAACTTCAAATACATTTTCATTGCAAATAATGTGAACCTATACACCTGCAATTTCTGTCCATGGAAATAGCTAGGCATGTACATTATGAAATTCCCAAACGAAACTTATACACAGAAATCTCTGGTTTGAGGTCATCACCATAATTTTTCAGAATGCTAACACAAATCCAGTGTTTTTCGTTATTATGAAACCTCCCTCCACAAACAATCTGTGTTCTTTTTCAGCTTTGGGTGCTGCTAGCCGGCTACAACATGCACTGGTGTTTTTTCTTTGAGTCTACTGATATTCTGGGCAATGGCATTTTCCCCTTCCAATCAGATCCTTGCAAGAGAGGAGCACAGAGTACTTTCAGCCAATCACCTGTGGAGAAAAGCCAGAGAGCCACAGGTCTTTTTCCCTCCCTCCCCTGTGGGATCAGAGCCATTTTGTTCTTTGCAAACACTATGGCCGGGAAAACAGAGACCTGGGGCAGCTGGTTCAGGGGCCCATAGAATTTGACCCTTGGCCCAATTCATTTGAAATGTGGAGATTCTTTAGTGGACAGGCAACACTGACTCTGCTACAACTCTGGTGTCATTGGGTTGAAAAACAGCCACTCCAGCCCCCCTGAAAATGTCCCCCATACAGAATAATGGCAGATCGGCAGGAAGGGACACAGGGAACTATGCAAAGGAAGCCACTTTCATTTTGTGAAAGGAAACAGACAACAAGGAAGAATGGCAAATGCACAGTTTTCAGTGGAAATGTTTTTTTAAAAAGTCAGTGTAACAGTAGGAAATGAATGTAGACAGGGTTGGGTTTTTTGCTTGTTTGTTTAAATGCTGTGGCCTGCCGGAGCTTGCATGCTAGGGCACCACTTGACCCACATTTCAGGTATCAGTAAAGAGATGTGCAGCTGTGCAGAGTCAGCTACTTCAGGATTCCGTAAAATCAGACCCCCTTCTTAAATCTGCTTGCAACTTATGGGGTCTTTAGATTAGAGGGAGGACTGTGTTCTCTAATTTGGTACCATTATCTTTCTAAACAGCTATCCCAGACCCTTATGTGCATTCCTCAACAAAAATATTGGGCCTGAACTCCAGAACCTGAAAAATCACAAGGATCTGAATACCAAACCAGTAATGTCCTACCTGTGAAAAGAAACAATCACAGTAACCCCCCATGCTTGGATCCAAAATTATAACATTTTTTCTTTTCAGCACATACCCCTAGCAATACCTTGACACCTTTCATGTTTCATGAGTAAGTGCATGTTTTCTAAAGCGTTTCTTCATATTTATGCATTTTCAAATCACTCTGCTGGGAAGCTTAATACACCATTTGTACTAGTTTGTAAAAGTTTTGACTGTGTGGATCACAACAAACTATGGCAGGTCCTTAAAGAGATCGGAGTACCAGACCATCTCACATGTCTCTTGAGAAACCTGTATAAGGGTCAAGAAGCAACAGTTAGAACCGGATATGGAACAACTGATTGGTTCAGCATAGGAAAAGGAGTACGACAAATGGTTCAGCATAGGAAAAGGAGTACGACAAGGATGTATATTGTCACCTTGCTTATTTAATATATATGCAGAGTACATCATGCGAAATGCTGGCCTGGATGAATCACAAGCGGGAATTAAGATTGCTGGGGAAAAGAGCAACAACCTCAGATATGCAGACGATACCACTCTAATGGCAGAAAGTGAAGAGGACCTAAAGAGCCTCTTGCTCAGGGTAAAAGAGGAGAGCGCAAAAGTGGGCTTGAAGCTCAACATCAAAAAAACTAAGATAATGGCATCCAGCCCCATCACTCCTTGGCAAATAGAAGGGGAAGTCATGGAAGTAGTGACAGACTTCACGTTCCTGGGATCCCAGATCACTGCAGACTGTGACAGCAGCCATGAAATTAAAAGACGCCTGCCCCTTGGGAGGAAAGCGATGGCGAACCTAAACAGCATGATAAAAAATACAGACATCACCCTGCCAACAAAAGTCCGCATGGTCAAAGCAATGGTATTCCCAGTAGTCATGTATGGCTGCGAGAGCTGGACTATAAGGAAGGCCGAGCGCCGAAGAATAGATTCTTTTGAACTATGGTGCTGGAGAAGACTCTTGAGAGTCCCTTGGACTGCAAGAAGGTCAAATCAGTCAATCCTAAAAGAAATCAACACTGACTGTTCCCTGGAAGGCCAGATAATGAAACTGAAGCTCAAGTACTTTGGCCACCAAAGGAGAAGGAAGCACTCACTGGAGAAGACCCTGATGCTGGGAAAGATTGAAGGTCAAAGAAGACGGGAACAGCAAAGGATGAGATGGTTAGACAGTGTCATAGATGCAACGAACATGAAATTGAGCCAACTTCAGAGGATGGCGGAAGACAGGAAGGCCTGGCGTGATCTGGTCCATGGGGTCGCGAAGAGTCGGACTCAACTGTGCGACTGAACAACAACAACTAGTTTGTTTGTACACAATGTTTAAGTTGAAATATAGCAAGCTCAAGTGTCACATAAATTCTTATCACTGTATTAACCCTCAGGTGTAACAGCAAAGCATAGTTTACTGCTACCAAGACTCACCTAGAAGGTAAATGGGCTAATGCAGTCTCTGTTTCCTCCCCTTGTAAATAATTGACTTTCTGTATACAAGATCAGCATCTAACATTGAATCTGATGTTGCAGAACTATAGCTGAGCTTGTCTGGCAAACCAGGATTCCACAAAATGGAATTAATAGGTTAGAATCCCAGTTTACAGGGAAAGTGCAAACTATTATATTGCCATACCAGCTATAAGAAAAAAGACCCCAAACGAATTACCTTCTTTTGAGAGGGGGACAAGAACAAGGCTCACACAAGCATGTGAATCTCTCTTTTTTTAAATAGCAACACGGTTGGTAACCTAGAGTTGAACATTACAGTTGGTTGTGTAGCAACATTGTTGGGGGACTTTATCATGGCATCTCAAACCCAGCAAGCTCTGCTTACATGTTCTGTACCTTGCATACACTTGCCACAGAAAGAACGGTTCTTTACAACAACAGGTTGGATCGAACGATGGCTTTCAACATGTACCAACTGCTCACAGGAAGTATGTTTTACACAGCACAGAGAATAGCTAGGTAAGAAAATCAAAACTACATCGAAAACTATTATTTTGATTGCAAAATCTCTAGAGCAAGTAGAAGCAAAGGAACTGCTATAGAACATGAACTCTAACACAAGTGTTTGTGGAATGGTGGTAGTGGCTATTTTCTATCTATTAATGTCTCTCAAGATTCAACCCCGAATTTACTCACTCACCAGCATATCTGCATGCATTTCTGTAACAAACTATCTTGATCTCTTTGTCAGTTCCCATCATTCTAAACATAAGCCATACATGCTACCCTTGGTTTTCAATCAACATTTACTAAAGCAGTGATTCTCAAACACTTTGAAACGTTTTTCTAAACTCACCTTTCAGGATCCACTTGCCTCTCTCCAAAAAATGCACATTAGTTACAATTAATAAGTTTAATTTGTTTTTCATTTTTAGCATTCAACAATTAATAGTATTATGGAGCAATAAAGCTGTATTCATGGCCATTCTGTGCATTATATATAGGGAGATGCATATTTGGCATCAAGCTTTTCAGTGCTGTCTTCTCAGCTCACCTAGTTCCACCTCATCCCTCCTTGACTCACAAGACAGCTGTGAAAGTCACAAACCACTTTTTCAGCTTTGATCAACAGTTTAAGAACTTACGTTTTGCTGAGAAAGTACTATTTGGCACAATCCCTTTTGTTTACTGCAGTGGCACAATACCTTTGTTTGACATTATTTTGATAAAAAAGTATGTAGGTGAAAAGAATAATCTGCCAGTCACCCTTGAACTATAAATTGGCACATCAAAGAATACCAGGAAAAATTCAATATCAGCTTTTGACAGACTACATAGAGCAAAAGTACAATTGTGAAACTTGTACCTTCAATTTTGATCCATGAGACACAGGATTAACTCCATCTGGTCCCGGAGGGATGAACAACTCCCATTTGCCAAAATCCATTTTCTTATATGGATGAGAAAATGGATTCCAATTATCTGAAATGTTTTTTAAAAATCAACATGTATTAAAATGCACATAAAACAGGAAGATGAATTTATACTGTTTTCTGGAATCAGTATAGCATAACACCAAGACTTCCACAACAGTGGAATTCTGAGGCAGAACACAATTCATAACTGTTTCAAGTGATGTAGTGAACAAAAACACCAAACTCAGTCCTCTACCTATCTAACTGGGAATGCAAGGATAATGCATCCCACACAAGGCAGCAAGGAAAAGAATCTTCTGCTGCAAATGCCTCTGCCCCACTCCTCCCCAAGCACACACCTATTGTGCAATAGTTCCAACAATTCTTTCTTTTTAACAGTTGCTAGCCTTATATGTTGGCGCTGCGGTGGCTCAAGTGGTTAAGATGCTGAACTGCAGGCTGTGGAAAGTCGGTAGTTCAACCGTTCAAGACCTGAGTTGCCACATGACGGGGTGAGCTCCTGTCTCTAGTTCCAGCTTCTGCCAACCTAGCAGTTCGAAAGCAAGAAATTGCAGGTAGATAAATAGGTACCACTTCAGTGGGAAGGTAAAAGCGTTCTGTGCACCTTGGTGTTTAGTCATGCCGGCCACATGACCACGGGAACGTCTTCAGACAGCGCTGGCTCTTCGGCTTTGAAACGGAGATGAGCACCGCAACCCTAGAGTCGGATTCGACTGGCTTTCGAGCAAGGGAACCTTTACCTTTACCTAGCCTTATATGTTGCACAGGATTAAATATATCCAGAGCAAAAAGGAGGACTAACTCTGGAGGTATGCTGACACGGCACCACTGTGATGTTGACAAGGTATCATACCACTATAATCCAATATGCATCTGGGAGTACAATGACATTCCTGGGTAACTACCAGCTATTCTTATCATAGAGACTGTTGTGTGTAACAGTCATTATGCTACTTGCCTTGTAGAATCAGAGCTCTACCAAGCAGTGCCAACTGAAACTGCAAACAGACGTTCGATATAATTTCTTACAAAGGGGTACATATTGGACCAGTTACTAAATTATGTTTCCCTGCAGCTTGATAGTCAAACTAGAAGATGACAGTCTGCCTTGGATTTTTAGAGCTAAATTACTGCATTGTGCTAAGAGAACCAGGGAAGTTGATCCTGGTATTGTTTCACTAATCCCACCCTCACGGTTATTGGCCTATTAGACCTAAAGTGCACTTGTTGATTAGGGAAAAAAAACATGCAGGGATAAAACCGTTAACCTATCTATTCTGAAGCAGTCCAAATCTGAATCAACCTGCCTCATGCAGAAGTTGTAATAAAACTTTTTTAAAGATGATTCAAAATCTACAATGTCAATTTAATCTAGTTTGACCTCCATTCTTCTGTTCTTGATCTCCCTGCTGACATTTCTGGCAGCTGGGATGCACTAGCAAAGGACATAGAAGGAAGGCTTCAGCCTGACTCACCAGGGTTTTTTTTCCAGCAGTAAAATAATGTATTAAGTAGATCATAATATAAATACTAACATTTTTAATGGGAAACAGAATATAGCATTGTTTACCTGGAGTATTTTAACCATTGTTTACCTGGAGTATTTTAACAGCTAAATATTCATCTAGTTACATTTTTCTTTCATACCAGTGCTAGGGTGGAGCTGTTTGTTTTAATGCAGGACACTTTAAAATGACTTTCTTTTAAAACTACTGGTGGCAACCCTTATAGAAGTTTTAATCCAGTCACTCCAAATAAAACCATTGAGTGGTATTGTATCTTAGGCTGGAATGACTTCCTGCAGCATAGGAAGCCTTCCCTCCAACTCAGCAGAAGAGCCACTTAAGGCTTAATGGAGTACTAGGATACAAGTCATTAACAGGAGCTATTAAAAATTCTACTTTCACTGAAACACATAGAATATGTGAGGGTCTCTTCATTCAATCCCAGACATCGAGTTGAGGAAAACTAATGTCTTGTCTTAAGAGGTTTATAACACATGCATAAAAGCTCATCAGTGTGGAGATCAGAGAACAAAGGTCAAAAGGCAAGCATAAAGAGAGCTTTGAGTAAGGTCTGCAAGAAAAAAAGGGGGGGGGAATGGTCCAGTGAAAGATGGAAGAACTACATCGGTGAGATTGTTTGCAGGAAGTCTTGTAATTCAGCCAAGCAGCTCCCAGTAGAGTCCTTACAACCAGTTTATTAAAACATGTCGAGATGATGAGATGCCACAATTTATACAAGGGGGCAGGGCAACGCCCATTGCTAGAATTTTTTTTATTGGACGGGGGCAAATGAATACAGTGGTGGTGAGCACATCATTATTTATTTACTTTATTATGAATGAGCTATGATGTACTGCAAAGTCTCTACAAGGGAACCTTCTACACAGAAGGTGAAACGATAATCCATTTTGTTTAAAACCATATATCCCCTTCCTTTATTTACACATGATGAACAGAGTCTTGTAAATGCATGAAGATCTCCACCCCCATATTGTTCCACTTCCACTTTCCTGGATTACAGTGTGCCAAATGGGAATTTCCGTTGTGTATTAAGCTCAAAGTGCACCAGAGAACTGACCTAGCTTGAACACCTAAACAATAGACTACCACGATCCTGAAAGGGACCTACTGAACAGTAGTTATCTTGTAAATAGCCTATCACCGGGAGTGTGTGTGTGTTGGGTGTGGTGTTTTGCATGCATTTAAGCAGGGCTCCAGTCCTGCTAGAGTTGTCTTAGAGTTTAGCTGAAATCACTAATAAACTAGGAGCTGATCACTCAATTCTTCTGAACCCAGTATATTTCACCCCCACACCAATGTATCACCATAAATTTTCTGTTTCTCTCTGAGCGTGTAGGGGAAGGGTGGCTTTTTTGCATCATGCAGATGGGAAGAGAAGCTGGGGAGGCTCCCCTCTACAGATATTGACTCCCTCCCCCCTTGTTGAGCCCAGTTAAATGAGAAGGCAAAATTGTCGCCAGCACCAATTCATTACCACCGTTTTACAGCAATTTTAAAATGCTGTGATGTCCCAATCCACTATGAGCTTGTGGTGCAAAACTCTTTTCTACCACCCCAAATGTTTTCAAGGGCCAAAACAGCTGCATAGGAACCAACACACACTGTAAATTTATCATAACCACTTGTGAAAGGCAGAATACAGAGGATGCTGATGCTGCCCTCTGATTCCAACCACCTTTGAACACTCCCCCATCCAGGCTAAAATAGAGCCAAAAAAACCTTTCTACCTTAATGTGCTACTGTGCTACAATGCTGCAGATCCAAGGAATCCATGACTGGCATGAGCTAGCAAGCTAAGGCGGGGAAAGGACTGTGTCACGTGTGTCAGAGAACAGCAGGAGCAACTACTTTGTGCAGGAAGCAAAGTGCAGAGGAAAAGCCTGGAAGGGAGGAGGGAGGAGGGAGGAAGGCTCTCTCCCTCATTGGCAAAGCCTGGGAGGGAGGGAAGCTAAGGGAAGGAAACACCCTCTCTCATTGGCAGAAGACTTGTGACAGATTTCACAACAACTCCTAGTACTGATTGGAGGGGTACGACAAATGATTGGTGAGGCCCTACCACTTTTTGCACCATCATGGCTACAGGCCTGGCCAGGGCATGCTATTAGAGCTTTCAGGTCTTAAACAGATTACCTCTCAGCTCTACCAACTCCGAAGGGAAGGATCTGAAATAATTCAGGTTTTAATTCTCTGTCCAGTGCTTGGGCCTACTCAGGGGTCATTTCGTAGAAAAAGAGGTGCAGGAGCTCATTAGCATAACTCATTAGCATAACATATTTGCATACGCCACACCCCCTGACATCACTGGAAGTGTGTCAGAAGGCAACACCCACCGCTCAGGCTCCACTGGACTGTTTTGGATTGCTACCTATTGGGGGGGGGGTGCAAATCTGTCCTTGCAGAGGAGGGAGAGCTTGTACCGGAATAAAACTTGGTCTTAAAGGTGCCACTGGACTGTTTGGGGCCGGGGGGGCTCTGCAACGTACCTGGCTGCTTCTTGCTCTGACTGAGGGCAGCTGGGAGCAGGGGGTGGGGCTTGTTGCATGTGCCCGCCCCCTGGGCTCTTTACTGCCGGAGCTCTGCTCCTGTGCGCTCCTGCAGGAAATGACCCCTGGGCCTACTGCAAGTCAGTGCTGGGGCCTACTGCCCAATGCCAACTTTCTCAGTTCCTCACAATGTTCATCTCCCAACTCAGCTATCACATTTAGAACTAGCTCCTGTACTAAGCCTATGTAACAAAAGCTTTCAAGGAAGGTTCACAAGCTGCTGCCCTATACTTAGCTATAGTCTTGATAGTATAAATTCTTATAGCAACACATTATTATTATTATTATTATTATTATTATTATTATTATTATTATTATTATTATTATTATTATTATTATTATTATTATTATTATTATTATTATTATTATTATTATTATTATTATTATTATTATTATTATTATTATTATTATTATTATTATTATTATTATTATTATTATTATTATTATTATTATTATTATTATTATTATTATTATTATTATTATTATTATTATTATTATTATTATTATTATTATTATTATTATTATTATTATTAATTATAGCAACAAAATGCAACAAAGTGTAATGACTTTCCTCCTATGTTTTTCCTGAATTTTATTTCTACATTCCAATGCCGTTTCTTTGAAGACAACATTATTTAAGGTCTGATATTGAGTAATTTCAATGGATAAACTGCATATGCAAGAAAGGAGTTGCACTACAATTCATGCTCCATAGTTTACATTCCTATACATCAAAACTAAAGTCTGCTGAATGGAAGGGACAAGAGTTTAGTGGAAGATTTTTGCATACCAAAAGCCCCAGGACCCAGTCCCTAGTGTATCAATTTAAAAGGATCATGTAGTAGGTAATAAGAAAGACCTATGTCCAAGACCCACAACCAGTCAGAGTAGACAATACTGTCATTGATAGACTAATGGCCTCAGCACAGAGCATCTTCATATATTCATTATGCCACTTGTGCAAAGGATGCTAAAAA